GATGCGCCTCCCACGCTCAAGGGAGGACAGAAAAGCAACTTCATTCTCATTGATGATATCCATAACCTACCCAAAGAACAGAAGAAGGGATAACCATAACATCACAGGAAGCTCTCCAGCTCAGCTCAGCCCTGCCACCTCTGGGTTCACTGTTAGAGATAGCTCAAAGCAATCAAGTGGATGTCTAATGTGTGCTCTGTCTGCTTGAACCAGCACCCATTATTTTGTGTCTCTGACGCACTTATTAAATAGTGCCAAAGTCATTGTTTCTCCTATCATCATCCCTGATAATACTTACCATCCACCTGGAATGAGATGGATGCTGACAAATGTTCCCTGTTACACATTTGTTATCTATGACCCAATTAAAATTGCATGGCTGAAACAGACAGAGAAATTGCCTTTCAGAGCTGCTGTCAGCAGAAGGAAGCAGGGACTAGCCTTAAATCCCCAAGCCACTCTGGACAAAGGGTACTCAGGCTAGAACAGACTGTACTTGCATTCAACAAAATAGCTGCCCTAGCTTTTTCAAAGCAACAGCTGCCTTTTATCAGAACAAGGAGTCCCTGTTAATGATCTAATAGAGCTCCCACAGCAAAGTCCACTAAATATACTTCTCAAGCCCAGGCAGTGCCCACAATGCAGACATGATCCCAACACATCCCAGCCTATACATGAGAACCCCGCTATGGAGCAGGCTATGCAAAATCCTCCAGCTAAGATCTGTGAAAGGGCTGGCTTCTGCCTCTGAGAATAGTGCCTTACAAAGTCCATGAGAGAGGGAGGTTTTTTTTTCCAGGGCTTCTGCATTGCTTACCTGGTCTGCATTCTTCCTCAACTCTGGATAGGCATCTCCCTGTAGAGTGAGTATCAGAGATAACACCAACCTCAGCAACTTCCTTGGGGGATCTCAAACAATGTCACAAAGATTACAGAGGTCTTTCATGAAGCTGAGAATGAACGGAGCCCGGTTCCTCAGAGACAGTATCACAGTGGGAGTCACACCCATACTTACAACTGCTGTCTCCTGGCTATCTCCCCATAACTCTACTCAGCTAACCCTTGCACAGCAAACACATCGGTTCAGAATGGGCAGAAAGCACTGTCCTTTAGGATGTTGTTAGTAATCACGGAGACCAATCTCAGAAAGCTTTAACCAGATGTGACAGCTTGGAAACTGCTGCCCTCAGGAAACAAGTGCATACTTGCATATATTTATGCTTATTTGGGCTGACTGTATCATTAGTTACAATAGCACAGTTCCTCATCACAAACGATCCATAGACAAGAGATGTTTACTGTTGCAATGCATGGTACCAGATACACCTTCCTGGTACTCCGTTCTGGCCAATGTTGTCTCCTGACAGTGTACAGGGTACAGACATGGAGCTGAAGAGAATGTCTGATATATGTCTTCCCTAAGGCGGTAGTTCTTACTTACCAGCACTTCCACTACAGTAGGCACGAGGGAGGCCAAGAGTCCATGTGGAGCATGAAGGACTTCGGAACAAAAGCGAACAGCCCTGCGCAGAATCCGACGCAGCACCAGTCTGAAAGCAGGGCAGAATTCCCCAAACACTATGTGAGCATCCCTGCCCAGCACCCACAATCCAGTGCAATCCCTCCTTGGCCTGGCCTAACTACCAAAGGTTGGCTGCTTCACATACTCTATACTTAATCCAAGGATGAGATGCAGGTCTGAACCTCTTTCAGGCTCTCACGTGAATCTCTCTATATCTTTGGTCCACATTAGCATCTTTCCCCTGGCTCACATTCCCTTCTGGACCTAATTTCCCTATTGGAAACTATGCTGTTTCCACATATCCTTACTCCGCTCCAGAGAAGCCCGGGTAGATGCCATCAGTGATGCACACACACAATGTCCGCACGTGATCTGCCACCACACGGTAGGCCATATCCACATGCCCAACATCAGCATTCCCAACCAGACCTTGGTATCTGGGCCCCCCACAGCCCTGAAAGAGAAAGTGAGGAGACCACAGGTCAGCAGAATGGAAAGGCTGTAGAAGGAAAAGTTCAAATGCAACAGGCAGCCAGTTACACTTGACATCATGCTTCTCAACTACTCTGTGAATCTAAGACAAATTGATTAAATCCTTCCAGAACATTAGAGACCAAAAGCTTTGTACCTAAGACAGGTCAGCCAATGTCCTGGCCCTAAGAAATCTAAGACACTTTGAATTAAAAGTGGATTATCAATGCTGCTATATTAGTGGATTTCCAGTGTGGAATTTACCCTGAGCTTCCCTGTCTGGGGTCTGGCCAGACATACCTTCTGTCTCACAATACTGTGTAAAGAAGACAAGGCTGTAGTATAGCACGAGGCAAATAGCTTGCTCCAGAAGAGCTTTTACTTAGCTGTGACTCTAAACAGGATCACCTTATGAATGGCATCCAAGATGGGAGTGAAGAGATCTGTGTCATAGTTGGATCGTTTGTTCTGCAGAACCGTCACCAGCCTTTCTAAGCCCATTCCTGTATCCACATGGTGCTGAGGCAAGGGAAGCAAATTCCCCTCCACCTCTCTGTCAGCAAGTTAGGAAAAATAAAAGGCAGAAGAAAAGCACCAGTCAGTTCTTGGCAAAGACAAGATGTACTTGAGTTGCAGAGGATGGGAGTGTGATAAGGGAGCGACAAGGGATAGAAACAGCAGGTAATCCAACAGATGATAACTCAGGGACAAGACTAACAGCAACCTGCCTCAGCACTGACTGGTAGCCAGGCTCTGGTTATCAGATCATCAGGATATTTTGCAATGGATGGAAAAAGGGTTTTTCTAAACAGCAGTCTTCTCACCCTGCAAGTTTCTCTGCACTGCTCAGACCTGATCTCTGGGATGCAGCAGTGAGGGAGGTAGACAAAATAATTTAAAGGAGGAGTGGATAAAAGCTAAGGAGGACGAGTCTCAGTGGACACATCCTCCCAGCTTCTCTCTTGCTCCTCTACTGCCACCTCCTGGAAAGCAGTGAGGTACCTAAAGGTATACACGCATAATTCAGATAGCATGTAACAGAGAAAGGCACTGGAGTTCAGAGGAGATTCCTGGTACCTGCTATACTGCATGAAGACCAGGTTCCATATCTCCACTACATCAGGGCTCCCCTGGTTCACCAGTGCTGAAGCATTTCTACCACCACCCACATGGTCATAGTGAATCTCTGTGCAAGGACCGCAGGGACCCGTGTCACCCATCTCCCAGAAGTTGTCCTTCATTGGGAAAGGCAGCACATGGCTGGCAGGCACTCTGGAAAGGCAAACAACAGAAGTGGCAATGTTGGTGCGTGCATGCAAAGCACACATTAGACTATATCATGAGGAAAATTAAAAGGATAGATCCACCCTGACTACTACAAACTCAGAATTCAAATGCATTAGGACTTGTTTGCTTCTGTTCGCAAAAAGCTGTATCAAAACAGAGAGGACCCTAGTCAGTCCTAAGAACTGCTAGCAAAACCAGCCTGGCTCCTGCTGATGGAGACAGATGTGCCACTAGGTTCACAGAGCCACTTTTCTCCTTGGAAAGAATTGCACCAGAGCCATGACATGAGGAACAAGACTGACCATTACAAATAGCAGTGAGCTGGCTGCCTTGGGCCCAAACAACCTATAACAAACTCTCAAACTGCAGTGGCTTTATCTTCACATTAAAGCAGTAATTGCTAGCAGAATGCAGACTGCACAACTCCTTGTGGAGAAGAAGTAAAGGATCACAGACATCTTTAGCACACTGCATCCAGGTTAGAAAGCCTGAGGCACACAGCCACTGACCAACTGCACCTGAGCAGCAGCTTAAAGGTAAAACGACGTAGAGAATGAAGAGTCCAACTTTCAGTAACCCAAAGGGAGAAAAAACTAAATGAGTCGAAGACTGTTTTCCACCAATTAAAGAGCAAATGAGAGACTATAGAGACTTGGGATGTCAGTATCTGCTGCTCAGAGCCCCTTTCTTTAGCATGCTTACCCCAAGCTGAGCCATACGTCCCTGCACTCCTCATCTGCGCTCAGCCCCAGTGAAGAGTCTCCGCCAAAATATGTGACATAGAGACGATCCTTTGGGATCTTGTAGACCTCTGTCAGGAGCTCCCAGGCCATGCTACATGCCTCCTCCTGAGCAGACAGGGACGCAGAGGAAGCATAAGAATACAGAGTGGAGTGAGAAAAGGGGGTTCTTCAAAATGACAGGCACCAAAGAAGCATGTTTAGCTCTAGCTCTCTGTAAGCACTTGCAGTGATTCAGCACAGCACCTGACCCCCCTCAGCTTCACACCACAAAGTTAGGAGCTGTAGCACCCATGACAGAGCGAAGTGTTGGTATCACAGTACAGCTGCGATGCTCTAAGAAAAGGCCTGCACGTCCCCCAGGTGAGGACTTGCTCTTGCCACCTCACCTTGAAGTAATCCCCGAAGGACCAGTTCCCCAGCATCTCGAAGAAGGTATGGTGGTAGGTGTCACGGCCCACGTCCTCCAGGTCGTTGTGCTTCCCCCCAGCACGCACGCACTTCTGGCTGTTCACCACCCGCCGCTGCTGCGCCAGCTCGCTGCGGGGATGTGCCGTGCCCAGGAAAACGGGTTTGAACTAGAGAGCATGGGAAAGAGACACCTGCTATCGCCGGCTGCTACCCACGCTCATGCGGAGCACATGCGGGGAGAGAATCCGGGAAGGGCTGGGTCCGCACCTGATTCATGCCCGAGTTGACGAATAGGAGGGTCGGGTCGCCGCGGGGCCGCACGGGGGCGGAGGGCAGGCAGCGGTGGCCGTGCTTCTCCTCAAAGAAGCGGAGGAAGGCGGCGCGGACTTGTCCCGCGGACGGGCAGGCAGCACCGCGACGGGGGCAGCGGGGCCAGGACCTCCGCACCGCAAGCAGCGGGAGGCGCAGCGGACCGGCCGCCGCCATGTTGGCCGAGGGCGGAAGTCGGCGCGGCGACTTCCGGCAGAAGCGGGGGCCGACGGGACGGCGGAGGAGCGCCGGGAGCCCAACCCGCTGCGGGCCGAGGGCGGCATGGCGGCGTGCGGGGCATCGCGGCCGGCCTGGTGCCTGCGGAGGGTCGGGGCGGGCGGCGGCTGGCTGCTGCTGGAGGCCGGCACGCAGGTCAGCGGGGCGCGGGAGGCGGCCCTTCTGTGGAGAGGTCGGGGAGGAGGCCTTTTAGAGTCTAGAGCGGGCGTGGTGGAGCCCGGTGGTGAAACGAAGGAAAAGCCGGGGCCGGGCCGGCTGCTTTCAGTGCGGGTAACGTGGGAGGCGGGGGGAAATCGGGATCTGAAGTTTAAATTCCTGCATACCTCGCTGTTACGGTCCTTAACGTCAGCTCGCGTCTGACAAAAGCTGTTTGTGGTACTGTAGCGTAAGGGGAAGAAGGCCTCGCTTACCGGGGTTAGCGCTGTACGGCCTGTAAGATTTTTGTGCCTTAGTCACTTAAGTGATGCTTTGCATCTGCTTCCATCATATCTCAGCAGGACGTAGGGAAAAGCGTTCTCGGGTGGGTTTGGAGCCGGGAGGTGTTGCACACACGCTCAGCAACATGTGCACGTTGCTGAGTATGGAATGTGCCAGACTTGCAGCACAGGCTGTGTGAATTGCATGGAGAATCTCGCTGAGGTGAAGCTGTCTTTGCTGCAGCGCTCGGCTGTCTGTGATCTTTCACAGGAGAGAGGGAGGATAGAGCTGTGCTTTAAACGGCAGCCTGCAATTAGATCGGATTTAATAAGCTGCTATGAAACTGTACCATGCCCTTATGCCTGCTTCTTGCAGAAGATGCTGTTGAATTCTGATCAGATTACTTAGCTTAGTTTCAGACTGGTTATAAGCAGCACGTAGCTTGGGTATCATGTTTTAAGGGAACAATTGCATATGCTTTTTTTTTTTTTTAAATGAGAGTTTTCTGCGCTATTTTTGTCCTGTGTCTTTCCTGTTTACAGAGAGTTGTACAGATGCTGTTAGCTAAAGAAGAGGGTAAGACATAAATTTGAGACCTACAGTATTGCACGGGTTTGAAGAAATACTGGTTAGTTAGGATATGAATGAGGTAAGGCATGGATGGAGTGAGAGCTACGTTGAGCAGCTTTGCTGCTGAGAGAATTTTCTGTGAGACCAAGGCTGTAGCCTGTCTTGCAGCAATCAAATCTTTATCAGAGAGAGAGAGTACTTCAAACTTCATTTTTTAGTTACTCTTGAATTTAAAGCAAAACAAACAAACAAAAAAGACCAGTTAACAAAGCAACACACCATCCTGAACCATTGGGAAATAGCTATAAGATGCTAATCAAGATAGATTTCTGCTGTGCGTATATTCAGCTCATATGACTTCTATTTATTGTCTTGCTGATTTTTGTTTCAACATCTTTATTTTTAGGTAACTGTAGGCCGGGGATTAGATCTCACGTACCAGCTGGTGTCAAAAACCTGTCCCTTGATGATTTCTCGTAAGCACTGTGTTTTCCAGCAAAATGCAGAAGGACAGTGGACTGTTAAGGATAATAAGGTACAGAGACTGACTTTTACTCTTAGTTTCACTGTAGAGAATGCCTTGATTGGCATGAAGCAACGTATGATCTTTGATTATAATATGGTGTAAATATGATGGAAGGTTCGTGGAAGCACATTATGTCTGTTGTGCACTTGTAGCAGGAAGCTTCAGTCTGCTGCAGTTGGGATACAGGCCTTATTGCTTTCTGTATGTGGATTTATCCCTTGGTCTAGCATTTTCAGGCAATTACAGTCCTACACAGAGCACTTTGCATCCTGCGAACTTGCTTTGTTCTCTAATTTAAAATAAATAATTTAGTAGCATTCAAAAAGATAAATGTTCTTGTACTGCTAGGAAAAAGATACACTGATGCTGCAGTGACAAAATTACTTTGATTATAACCAACTACAATGAGAATCTGTTGTCAGAAAAAAAAAGCACGCTTTGCGTTGTCTTCAAATATGTTCTAGTTAAAGTCCTCCTGATTAGAATGTAGAAAAAGTGTTGAGATCAGAGTCTTCAGCTAGATCTGTCTTTTTCAGTGGTGATGTTTTCTTTTTTTAATCATGAACTCTGCACTTTCTCAGTCGTGCTGAAATCACGTGGAATCAGTAACTTGCTTAAAATAGCACTAGCACAGCAAAAAAACATTCAGTTCGTCATAAAATCTTGAAGGATGTTTAGGTCAACAACAGATAAGCCAAAAAGGAAGGGATTGGCTGCTGTTAAAATTACTCTTAAACAAGGCTGTGCTGGAGTAATTGTATAATTTTGAAATTTTACTGTGTATGATTGGAAATATCTATAGTAGATTAGCTATTAATACCTCAATGTAATCACTGCTACCATTTTTGTGAAGTTGTTTTGTTGAATCTCTTTGAGATATGTCAGTTGCTCATGATTCTGCAGTTCATCTTGAGCACAGCTCTGTTTCTCTGTTTCTAAAAACAGTTTCTTGAGCTAGTGCTTAATTAAAAATACAAACAAACAAAAAAAACCCCGCATGGTTTTCTGGTTAGAAGATCATCTCTTGAAGAATCTTTCCCTTGTTTATATTTTCTTTGTATTTATGAGAACTGTCTCATTTCTTTTCTTTCATTAAGCAGTGTAAGCTATGGTCATTTTTCTTTTCTAGTTTCTTCTTGGATTTCAGGTGACTTTGTCAAGAATAATTACTGCAATGTTCTTTGTTCTTGTCAATGATGTATTGCAGAATTTTTCAGTTGGATAGTTCTTATTTCCCCTGAAGCTTTTGGGTAGTTTCTTTCCCTTAAACTTAATTCTTTTCCATCTGCAGAAGTGCATATATTAATTTTGTTCTTGTACACAAAAATCTGCAATGTGGTAATAATACAAGGTAAATAATATAAGGCATTGACTGTAATAAATGGGGCATTGAGCCATTAAGTTGGATATTGCAGGGTTTATTTGAAGAGGTGGCTTGTTCTGACTGCAATACTGCAGAGACTGGATATGTTTACAGTTGCCAGAAATAACTTGCAGATGACTTTGTAACCTTATATTGAATCTTGCTGATTCTTTGTTTATATTCAGAGTCTAAATGGAGTTTGGCTTAATAAACAGCGCCTGGATCCTTCAAAAACCTATCCTTTAGCAGAAGGAGACCGTATCCAGCTGGGAGTGCCTTTGGAAAACAGAGAGTCTGCTGAATATGAGTATGAAGTAATTAAAGAGGAGTGGGAGAAAATCAGACCCTTTTTAGCCCAAAGGAGCGACCTGGGGAAAGCTAGGAGCTCAAGAGCTAAACGTAAATTTACTTCGGAAGAATCGGAGACATCTGGATCAGAAGGCCCTTCAAATTCCAGATCCAAAAGGGACAGAGTGTCATGTGATGGTGAACCTTTGAGTAATCTATTGAGAAGAGTAGGAGAGACAAAACAGTTGACAGACAAGACGGATGTCAAGCTGCCCTCTCCTGGGTCAAGTGAGGACGATGGGGGTCCAGTACGTGGTAGCCCTGATTGCTCTGAGAAAGCTGTGGCTGTTGCTCACGAGGACCAGAAACACTCTGTTCTTTCTCAGTCATGGACTGACCTGGAAAAGCTGAGGAAAACTCTCATAGATATAAAGAAGTTAAAAGTCAAAGTGCAGGAGAAACAGACTGCAGTTCTGAATGCAAAGCAGAAGCGCAGGAAGGCTGCTCAGAAGACAATCCTAGCAATGGAAAAGGAGCTGCAAGAATTGCAGGACAAGCTGTGCACAGAACAAGTACAGCATCAGCAGCAGGTGGAAGAGCTGGAGAGGACATTCTCTAAAGAGAAGCAGAAGCTAGAGGTATAATGGTGGTAATCATTTTAATCTGTGTGTTTTGAGATTAATTTTTTTTCAGTTTTGAAATTAAAACTCTGACCCTCTGTGGTTACAAAGAGGACAAGTTAAAAAGTGTTAACCTTAAGTGGGAATTTTTTCTAGTATACAGCTTTTTCTGAATTAATGCTAAATTCATTTGGGAATCCATTTTCTTTTCAAACAAGTGCATCAGTGTTTTCCTTTTTCTCTTAACTCAGAGCTTGAGGAAAGAGGGTTTTGTTGTTGATGCTTTTGTTTTATTGTTTGTTTGTTTGTTTTTACAGGAAAAAAATAGTCTCTTCTTGCTATCTGCAAATGCCTTCAAGCAGTATGTGTATGTTGATAACTTTTTTTAGATAGGAAGCTACAAGTCTTATCTTTCTGATTGACTTTATTTGAAATCTGGTTTAAAGGAAGTAAGAAGAATTCTTCAGGGAGTTACCTACATGACTTGTCAGTTACTTCCTTTAAAATCTGCTCCTAAAAGCAGGATACTGTATCAGAAGTGCAGGAGGTTTGGAGTTGTGTGCTCAGGATAAAAGGAAGTTCATCTGAAGCTGTAACTCTGTCTGACCTATTTAAATGTGTTGCAAGATAGAGCTGCAGCTTTTTCTCATGTGTAAGCTATTGCCAGCTTCCTGGCTTCTGTCAACGTTGCAGTGTCTTCAGAGCTAGAGTAACATGGAATTGTTCCAAGTATGGAACTGTAAATGATACATTCACTTTAGCTCTTCACACTAAATGAGAGCTGTAATTTCAGTAGTACACATGAATCGCTAGAGTGGGGCTTTTCAGGTTTTGCTGAAAATCAGTATTGTTGCTTAAAGTATATCCTCTAAACATGCAAAACAGTTCTTTTCATTCCTGTGTTATCTTCAAGTATTTGCTTTTCTTCCTCCAATAACTTTCTTACTGCAAAAATGTCTAGTTTTGGTGTTTGATTTTTTTTCAGGGAGTGAAATGGCAAGATGGGGAAGAGAATCTGAAGGAGCAGTTGGCCCAGGTTCTGCAAGAGGCAAGTAATTAAGTCTACTTGGTCTAACTATTGAACTCGTGTACTTAAATCTCACTGCTTCCACTCTTGGTGGAAGACTAGGACTGTGCCTGAAGAGCATTTGGAGTGGTCTTCATCTTCTGCAGATCAAATTATGGTTAGAAAGTGACAGGCCTCCTTTTCTAGGAGTTGCTATTTGCCAGCAGATAACACAAGAATCCGTGCTTTTAGAAAGTATTAAGTAGCTGTAGTGATTCGACTTGAATCTGGTCAACATTCTGGTGGACGTTTTTGTGAGGTTTATCCTCTGGTTATCTGTTTTGGGAAAGTTGTCTTGGTAGTTTTAAACCACAGGAAAAAGAATCAGTTTTGGTTAGGAATGTTTTTGAAAGAGATTGTCACATGCTTAGTTTTCCTAGGCTTTCTATCTGAAAGGCCTTTCCTTTTGGAAGGCTAATCCAAAAAGAGATTCAACCAGCCCTGCTGCATATGTTGACAGGCTTTCATGATACTTGTGTGTCAAACATTCCGTGATACTCAGATGTGACGGATGCGCTCAAGATAGTGAACAGAAAACCAAACTGAAATGTAAAGTAAATTGCAGATATTGCCAAACCATTGGAGTCATTAGGCTGAATTTTAAAATGCCTTTCAAAATGGTGTGGCCTCTTAAGTGAGGCTTTGAAAGTGGAATGAAATCATGCAGTCAGTTATCCAGCATTACTGGAAGGTGACTGGAGTAGTGTTGAGTTTTCTTTATGAATTTCTGTGCTACTGCACACCATATCAGAGGCTCAATCTTTGCTTTGAATGTTTACAATCAAGTTAGATGAGCAAAGATGTAAAAACACATGCATCCAGTATGTCCCGTCATTAATTTTATGATTGTGGAGTGGTTCCTGGAATGTGCTGTGTCTGGTGGAACATTCATAAGCTGTAATAATAGTCCAAAGCCTTTTGAGTGATGGCTGCTTGTGCAGGTATTTCTCTTGGTTATGAAGTAGTAGTTTGCTACTACTTTGCAGATTTTCCTCAGTGCTATAGCTAGAAAAAATCAGGAGAAATCCAGCTAATTATTGAAAACTTTGAGGTGGTACTTTTGGGCATTTTCCTCTCTGCAGCTTTCCACCAAGTCATATGGAGCTTATGAATAAGTTTTAGACATATTTAAAAATAATTATGTGAACAACCTTTCTTCTTGTCTGATCCATGTCCTATGACAGTCCTGCCTATCGTTTCTGGTAGAGCCCAATATTGTGTAAGCTCCAACTCCAATTAGAGTCAGAGTACGCAAGATACAGCTGCTTTGGTTGTCCATAGGGAACTTCAGTAGTTTGAGTAAGCTCTGTTCAGAGAAGTTGCTTTTGTACCATCTGGTGTGCAGGTTCATTCTGAAATGGCATAGAATCATAGAATGGCCTAGGTTGAAAAGGACTACAGTGATCAGGTTGTTTCAACCCCCCTGCCATTGGCAGGGTTGCCAACCACTAGACCAGGCTGCCCAGGGCCACATTCAGCCTGGCCTTGAATGCCTCCAGGGATGGGGCATCCACAACCTCCTTGGGCAACCTGCCACTTACTATCAAATTTTAATTTTTACTGCTGTGTCCTGTAGTGAGTTTTGCTGTAGACTTTATGCTTTTTTTCTCCTCATTCATTATTGTATGGCATGTATTTCTTGTTTATTGCTTCTTGCTTTTATCTTGTAAAACTACAGGATTTTACATGCCATTTGTGTCACTGCAAGAAGGGAGTTGTCTCATGATAGACAAGGATGAGTGACTTAGGAGAGGAAATTAAGAGTATCGTGCTGCTGAGAAGATCATAAATAACTGACACTACATTGCAATTATAAGTTCAGGGTGAACTGCCTTAGCACCCTGGCTCATATAGACGGGAGTTGCTCTTTCAGGAGAAGACAGGAGAAATGAGTATGCTGAACCTCTAGAGCCATGTATATTTAATAGAGTAGCTTATAATAACACTCTTATTTTTGGGATGGTATCATTACAGCATCATGCTCTGATGGAAGAACTGAGCCGTAGTAAAAAAGATTTTGAGGAGATAATTCGAGCCAAGAATAAAGAACTGGAGGAAACCAAGGTAAGGAATGAAACCAAGTTCTCCATAACTGAAATACGATATGCTGTGGCAGAATAAATGGTTTAACATTTGCTTTGACTGTCTGTTGCCTTCTGTGGTGAAAAGCTCTTGTATTTTGGCAGCTGATTCAGATTTCCAGAATTTGCATGGAAATATGAAAGAGTGGGGGGTAGGGGTAGGGATCATCAGTAGATACACTCTGCTCTGTTTGTGAAGTAGCATTAAAGAGTTCTTTCTCCGTGGAACAGAAAGCACAGGACATCTGAACAACATGTTGTGCAGGAGCAGCAGACCCATTCCATTCTTTAAAAATAAAAAACTGTATGGGAAAAGTGGGTGCTTCATTTTCAGTTTGCATGGACTTGAGAGGAACTGCATTGTGTTCCAGCAGTCAAACAAGGGAGCACAGGATTGAAACAACATGAAATTTTAATAATGAATGAGATAAGCCATGTTTATTCCTGCCTCTGTCAAGTTGATGAATGGAAGATAATTAAAGGGATCTTGTGTTATGTTCTACACTTGGAAATTATGATGTTTCATACCTTTGGCTATTTGCTTTGTTTTCTTCTGTCATCTTTGCAACTGTTGCTTTAAGAATAGTTCTTCTTAGAAGATGTAGCAGATGCCTAGAAGGCTAATTTAACCCTAAACAGCAAAATATATTGGTCAGTTAATCGCAAGTAATTATTTTTACTTTTCTATTTACTTTTCTAATATTTGAGTTACTTTGTTTTGCTCTTTACATTAGACATCAAACCATTGTGTTAACTTCATCCAAACTCAGGCCAAAAAGAGGTTATAAGAGATTTTGAGAAGACTGATCTGGTTTGTAGTTTCTTTAGGCTGAAAGGGTCTTTAGTAATGGCTGTTCTTTCTTGCAAGCTGTACTCTGTAGTGGACAGGAATGTTCTCAATACTGCTGCAACTACAAAAAGGAGGGAGGTTACAAATTTGGGTACATAACAAACACAGAATTGACATGGAAAAACTTAAAGCTGCATGATTTTCTACTTGTATTACCTTCCTCCACATATTCAATTCCACCATTATTGCATCAAGCTTTGTTGTTTATTACTGACCGTGTTTGTTTTCCTGATAGGTGGAGAAGGAAAAGGTGAGAGCCCAAAAAGAAGAAGTTTTGAATCAGATGAATGATGTGTTAGAGAATGAGCTGCAGTGCACGATCTGTTCTGAGCACTTCATTGAGGTATGTTTAAGCCAGTGTGGCTTCGCCAGTAAAGAAGAGACTTGAAAAGCTTTCTCTAGTTCTACTAAAGCAATAGTCAAGCTTTCTTTTCTTTACTTCTGTAACTTAGCAGACCCAACAGATGACTTGTAAGGGTTGATCCAGAAACCCATTCTATCTGCTCTAAAAATTCTTCTGGGCAACAAATTTGGCTTTAATGTCTCTCCTTGCATAGGCATGAATGCTTAATCCCAAGATGCATTCAGGCTTGCAGGAGCTATTAGTGTTCGAACTCACAGAATCACAGAATGGCCAGGGTTGGAAGGGACCTCAAGGATCATGACTCTCCAACCCCCCTGCCACATGCAGGGCCACCAACCTTCCCATTTAATACCAGACCGGGCTGCCCAGGGCCCCATCCAATCTGGCCTTGAACACCTCCAGGGATGGGGCATCCACAACCTCTCTGGGCAGCCTGTTCCAGCACCTCACCAATCTTTCTGTAAAGAATTTCCCCTGGTGCTCTTGAGGTGCTGCTGGCAGCCTGCTCAGTCATTCTATGGTAGACCTTGCTTCAAGGTGACTGGAGTTGGGCAGCTTCAGTGTTAGATGTAAGAACAGGCTAGTAAGGGAAGGAAGGTGCAGTGTTTGTCAAGTTCTAAGCCGTTTATGTAGTTCACATAAAGTTGAGAGAGAGAAACTGATTTGAGAAGCAATAGGCAGATGATGCCTGAAATGTAGACTGTTCTATCTGTTTATGTTTTACTGCAATTTCGGTTTAATTCAGTTTGTTTCTACTGTAGGAAACCTGTTAATCTTCTTAAAATGACCTAGGAGTTGGTTAGAATTTTAGTTTCTTATTACAGATGCAGAATATTATTTTAAATTATCTGAGTTACTCTGTAATTTGACCTGGGGATGTTATAATGCAATTCATTTGTTCTGTCAGTTTTTCTGACTTAGCTGTGGGGTTGCTATGATTATGGTGAATCCACTAATGTGTAAACTTGTCTGTACTCTGGCATGGGAGAGTTGTTTTAGGTGCAGCCCCTCCAAAGGCTAAAGAAACGGCCTTTGGGCTTCTTCCCCAGCCTTCCCTTGTAGGAAGTATTCGATTAACATTTTCTGATTTTGGTGAGGTTTTTTTCTTTACAATGCTTGTGTGAGCATGCTCTCATGCTCCCTTAAATTCCGCAGGCAGTCACTCTGAACTGTGCACACAGCTTCTGCTCCTACTGTATAGATGAGTGGACAAAACGCAAAGTGGAATGCCCTATCTGCAGGCAGGAGATTAAGTCAAAGACACGCTCTCTGGTGCTGGATAACTGCATTGACAGGATGGTAGAAAATCTGGATGTGGAAATGAAAGAGCATCGCCTGACCCTGATCAGAGAGCGGAAAGGTGAGAGGTGGGTGGATGTGGCATGATGAGTACAATCTCTCATTTCATCTATTTCGTACAGCGTTCTTTGGCACCTATATACTAAGGAGATGCTCAGCAAATGCAGCAGATATACTGGACAATATTCATTATTGGTAGAATCAGCAAATTGAGACGGGAAAATGATCTTAAGATATGCTGTATAACCAGCTTTACTGCATAGTAAAATAAAAAAAACTTTGGAAAAAGACTTCAGTATGAATTTCACAGTCCATCTGGAAGACTTAAACATACTAATGGTCTTACCAAAAGATTTTAAAGAGTTCACTAAAGAAGAGCAAAACCTGGGCCTTAAAAAATTGACCTTTTTGATTGAATTGTCAACTACATCATTGCAAAAACTCAGCAGAGCAATGCCTAATGATAAACTCTGAATTATTTTTGGCATGCTAGATTTGTGTAGAAACCTCTGAAGGGAATTTGGGGAATATGTCATGTAAGTGAATGCATGGCTGAAATGACAGTTCCATAATAATTCTTAAGGAATTTATCTGTGTGGTTTTAAAACAAAAAATTGTTATAGCTAAAAGACTGTGCATGACCATATGGGCTGTGAGTAAAACTCCAATATGGAGGTATTCCTCTTCTGCTTACATCTTCCAATGTTGTTTCTAGAGCAATTGATTCTGGTATCTAGGTGCTGAAATGTACAACTTCTTGCTACCCCTTAACAAGTTTCTGTTGTGTTCCCTTAAATAATTGTCCTGCTATCCCCCTCATAGATGTGAGTGCATGATCCTTTGTTTTGCAATGTGTCAAGCCTTTTTGAAATCCTTCCTAATGAAAGCTGCTTTTGAAATATTTCATATTCTGCATGGTGACATAGAATGACATGGCTAAACAGTGTTATTTCTAATCTGAAATCATCACCTATTTAACCAAGCCAGTCTGATTCCCTTGGGAAATCTATGCTGCCTGGAAGTTGTCCAGCATGGCTTCTTGATTTGCTTTCACTTTTGCAGAACTAATACTGCTCTTACATAATGCACGCTGCTTCAGAATATGCTGTAGCAATATTGAAGTGTCTCATCAGGTATCTGATGGTGATTAGATGAAGTGCTGCCTTTATTGGAGCAGCACTCCAATGAAACTTTGGGTTTCATGTGTTGGAAAATACGATCTTCATGCTTGCTCAGTCAAAAAGGAAATAGGCTAATAGTATCTATCACGTGAATGTAGGCTATAATTAGTTAAAATGATTAGTAGTAGGAAATCATATAGCTTCACCATGGTGCACTTAAGGAGGAAGGAAGAATTGTTTCTGTGTGATCTCCTCATTCAGTGATGAAAACGTTGTGATTTAGATGGAGATAACCACGTGTCTAATTCAGCATGAACTCCTAAGAAGAAATAAGTTGAGATTGAAATAATGATGGAAGTAGCACTTGGAAAGCCCAGTCAGATAATAAATTTTAGTACAATGGACACCAGTATAACAGCGAGTGCTCTTAAATGTGTGGAGGTTTTGATGTGGCCTTGAGTCCTGAACAGCCATTACTTGTTCCTTACCACATTTTGTTGCGTACTCCTTTTTTACCTGGCAGGGTTTTGTAATAACTAACCACTGCCTTTTGTCAACTATGTGCCACTGAAGGGATCCAGAATGTCTCTTCCTCATCTGTGCTATTTTAACATGAAGAGGCGTATAAGAAACTTAAAACAACAAACAGTGTTCTTTTAATGCTGAAAATTGAAGCAAAAAAATTCCTGTGCCCTGTAGCTTGAAGGACTTAATACAAACTGTTAGTGGGAGGCTAGAAGAATCAAAGAAAAATAGTTTTTTGGGGGACCATTTGAGGGTACAGGGACTAATACTAATTTTTATATCTGTTTTGAATGCAGAGAAACGGAATGTGTTGGTGAACCCAGCCACAGACAATGACAGCAGCATCATTCCTTCCATCTATTCCATCTTGTCAATCAGCAGTTGTGACAGTGAGGACTCTGAGGAGGATTCTTATTATAATGGAAGCTACTGCGTTATCTAAACTGTAACTGCAGGCTGGTTTGCCTGCGTGCTGACCGGAAACAGTCTAATGGAGTTTGGTTTACTACTGCTGATTGAGCGGACTGGGCATCTGGAAGGAGAGATTCTGTGAAGAAGCTGGAACTGGAGCTGAGAATTAGCAACATGTGGAAGAACGACCGTATTTTTTAAGAGAATGTACAGAAGCTTGATCTCTCAAACAAGACTGGGACTGTGGGAGAACAAACTGCTATTATGCTAGATGGTTGACATATAAAACCTAGGTTTCCAGGATCACTTCCTACATACTCAGTGTGGTGTAAATATTTGAATGCGTCACTGCTGTTTTCTGAGTGAATGACACGTTTAAATGTGTATACCAATTTTCCCTATTTCATCCAGCAGGGAACATATCAAAAGGTATTTGAGAACTTGGACATTTGCACCAGCTAACAGGAGAAAGATATTAGAAAGCATCCCAATATGGGGTTTTCCTCTTGATTTCATGTCAGCTGGAGTAATCCTAGGGCTTTCTGGCCATTAATTTAAAGGGTGGGTTGTGGACCATGTCAGCCTTAAGTGCTTAAATATAAAATAAGGTGAGCTGCTGGCTTGTTTGTTCAGTTGATGTTATTCATTTTCTGTTGGATGGGGATAGAGAAGATTAAATCTTCCTGAATTCCTTAGTTTGTGCTCTTTTCATACAGCATCTTTGGTTTGTTCCCTGCATAAAGAGTTTTAGAACTGCGAAACAGCAAATCCAGAAGTTACTAGCGGTGACTTCACAAATACTTTCAGTTCTTGTCAGCAGCAGAGAGGAATCTTGGCCTCTGTTAAGTACTGCTACTACCTGAATGAATGAAATGTGCTATTGACAGGGTAGTTAAGCAGCATCTGTAGGCAACCACAAGTAACTGTTTAGTTCTGTTGTTTACAAAACATTGCTATTGAGCTGTGGCTTTGCTACCCTCAGAGTTCATCTCCAAGACAAAGCAAGTCTTGCCTCATCCTATCACATCTATGAAATAATATGAAATTGTCTATGAAATTCCATTTTCAGTGGCATATGTTTTTGACTTAGCTTTTACATGGGCCTGTTACGTCACTGTTGGAGGAGGATGAGGGAAGCCCTCATTTGTAATATTTATTTGGCTGTTTGTACGTACTTTCTTTGTTCCTGTGTTTATTTTGCTGAAGAAGGAAAATATAAATTCATCTGTGCATTAGTCTTCCTTGATGCAAGCACTGAGATAAATGTCTTTCTCCTAGTTATCGTTGAATTTATTGAGAAAACCCAGATTGTTTCTTTTTAATGACTTTGCTTAACGTTTTCATGGCTGTAAGTAGTTTGACTGTTTTAAAATTATTTGAAACACTGTATGCAGGAATTGATAAAAGATGTCCTAACTCTTCAAGCCTGTGTTAGCAGTGCCTATCTTACAGTAATTTAGAATATGCAATTGTATCTTTTATTTTCTCCTACTAAAGATAGATGCCATTAAAAAGGTGCATAAAGATAATGCTTTCTTAAGAAAGTAGTGCACTCTGGCAGATTTGAGTGGTAAGACTTAAACAAGGGAAAGTTTTATCTGATGTGTGGGCCAGGCAACTTTCTTAAAGTCTTAATGTGAGGTTTCTCTGGTGAAGGAGCTATTACATCTTGAATTTTCCCTATGTCCTTTTAGTGTTCTAAAAGATGGGCTCTTGAAAATTTCCTTTGTACATTCATGCTCTCTAGAATGTCTTGAGAGAAGAGGGCTGCAGAAAACAGCAATGAAATACCCTGATGCTGGAACAGGAGTTCCTGTTGAAGAGGAGGAGAATGTTCTGGTTGCCTAGGACTGTGAATTCTTGTACTGTGTACCTCTTCCATGTTGCTTTGCTTTTTTACTTCATTTTTATTTTCCCTGTTTCACTTTGCTAAATACATTTATTTTCCTATGTTGGTGTTTATGCATATATTAGAAAAGGATGATTCTTCTGGTAATAGAGTTCTTCTTTGGTATGCTTTGAGAGTGTGCTATTTTCATTAGAATACAGAGATATTCTTCATATTCTAATGAGAGGGGACACACTATGATTAAAAGTGGAATATTTACCCTTTTAAACTGTTACCAATAGGTGTACCAAGATACACATGGAGTAATAAACTTTTTTCTGTTTATCAATAGGTACGTAAAGGTTCAAGGAGAGAGGCTAAGCAGCAGTGTTGTTCACTGGCAAAAGCATATCATTGACAAAAGCAGACCCTTCCTCCCAGTTCTGTAAGTTCTTTGGGAGAACTCTTATCTGATCCGGAGCTTTTGACTGTACGTATGGAAGTGGGTTCCAACTACTGAGCTGTGATGAAGGTACTCCACTCTCCTGTTTGTCAGGAAGAAAACATACTAAAACACTGTTGTTTTGTTTTGTTTTATAGAGGACAAGTTAAACTGGTATCTTAAATTTTTGTGTGCTTTCTGATACTGCTTTATAAAGAAGCTTTATAAAGAAGGAAAGGTAAACTAAGTGAGACTATTTGAAGTTTTGTTCAAGCTCAGTGCCTTTCATAAAGGAGTTTTCAGTGATAAAAAGATCTAAAGTGCAGACGTTTCCCTTTTTGGCCATCTAGTTGGCTATGATCAAGCATAAAATTTTCAACTTTTGCACAGAAAATATCTGTCAGGTAGCAGTTACAGAGAATGGAACAAGGGAGGTATTACTCAGACAATATGCTGCTGCAAAGATATGTATCCAAACATTTAAGTTAGAAAAGTCACATGCACCAGTAGGTGTTTCCTAATCTATTCAGCACTTACAAGACCCCAGCATAGTAGTGCTATGCTTGATAGGGACTGCACTACAAGATGGATTTGGACCAGTTGGAAAAACAAAGATTATGAAGGCTAAGAAATGTGACCTCATGCAAATGATTTAAGAAACTCCAGTTCTCTTTCTCTCTGAAAAAAATAAAAAAGCTGAGGCAACTAATGCATCAAATGCATCAAAAGCTATATCAAAGAGTGAGTAGTTTGCGTTTCCATGTTCACAGTGACTAGCATAAAAAGTAATGAGATTATTTTAAATCGCTATAAGAAGATTCTGGTAGCACTTGTTTTCTCCCAGTGTTTCAAGTAAAGATAATGAAATACTGCAGTACTGTGGAGAAACAGTTTCTGCAACGCAAGAAAGCAACACAAAAAGCCTTTATGTGCAGGTCAAGCACACCTTTGTTATATCAGTGATTTTTTTCCATCTGTTCCCCTTCCACCTCCAACAAAATCGGTAATAGTTTAAATACTACTGCTTTTGTTCTTTCAGAAAAGTTCAGTTATACAGTTTCTAAAGGTAGTGTCTTTACTCCCACTGGAAACTGTTCTGGGATTCATAAACTGAAAAAAATGCTGCATTTGTATATAGCTCACCTATGTTTTGGAAAATCAGGTGACTGGTATGAATTTCTAGTACAGTGCAAGCCTAGTGCAATTTCTTTCCTTACAAAATCAAATCTTTATCTTTTACATAGATTTGGAGAAGAATAAAACGAATTGCTATAAATTGTCTTATTAGGGAGATACCAATGTTTTGTTTATTCCAACAGTTTAAGAATACTTCTTACTCTTATTTGACTGGATAACAGAACTGAGATGCTTTTTTTGTTTTTCAGCGGGTTATAAACCCGCTATGAAGAACTCTTCTTTGTATGCATGAACAATAGTCTTCAACACTGGGCTGATGGCATTGCATTCATTCTCCTATTTGAGAGTCTCACGGATGTCATGATTTGAACTGTTATCTATCTTGGCATAGCATCAAACACTTCCTTACGGTGTTGCATACAGAATTTGAGTTACAAGTGGTAACAGTTGATCCACAGCAGCCTTGGTGCTGTGTTCAAGACTTGCTGTTACATTTGGGAGAGAGCCATCGTGTAGCTTGATGATGAAGATACTATCTATGCCATCAGGAATAACTGGGAAAGAGCTCCTACAGATGACCGACCAGCTCTGGAGTCCTCAGTACAGGGAAGATGTGGAGCTGTTGGAGTGGGTCCAGAGGAGGGCCACAAAGATGATCAGAAGTCTCAAGTACCTTCCATACAAAGACAGGCTGAGGGAGCTGGGCTTGTCCAGTCTGGAGAAGAGAAGATTGGGAGGAGACCTCATTGCAGCTTTCCAGTATTTAAAAGGAGATTATAAGCAGGAATGGAATCAACTTTTTACCAGGGTAGACAATGATAGGAAAAGGGGGAATGATTTTAAGCTCTAAGAGGGAAGGTTTGGATTGGATGACAGGAGGAAGTTCTTTACAGAGAAAGTGATGAGGTGCTGGAACAGGCTGTCCAGACAGGCTGTGGGTGCTCCAACCCTGGAGGTGTTGCAGGCCAGTTTGGATGGGGTCCTGGGCCACCTGGTCTAGCATGAGACTGGGGGGTGGAACTTGATGACCTTGAAGTCCCTTCCAACATAAACTGTTTTATGATTCTATGAATGTGAATATCGTTGGGACTGCTAAACTCCTATGTCATTTATGTGGGTTCCAACATCAGGATGGCAAACATTTTTCTCTTGTGTGTATAATCTATTCATATTCATATCATGTTGTGCATATAATCTATCCAGTGCTTGGTGGGCCTCAGCAACAACTGTCATTTAACTTTGGAGAACGGGTAATAACCAATTTAATAGTCCTGCATTTCACAAACCCTCACCCCAGCTTAAGTGTTTGTTGTTTGTTTCTTTTGTTTTGTTTTTCCTAAAGATTTGCTCTAGTCAGTGTTTTCCTTTCTGCTCGCTCTTCCTTTTGTAACTTCATGCACTTAGGCAGGTATCAGCTGGTTAAACCACGCTTTCCTCATAGCGAGCAGTATGCCTGTCTGCTGCTGCTGATTTTAGGATGAGGAGTGTGCCCATGGTTTCAGGCTTTGTGGGAAGCAGAAGACAACTCCGTTGGTGCTTCAGGTCCTCGTGACAGAGCTGCTACGGGCACGCACTAGCTTTACGCGCTGCGAGAAGCTGCAGCACTGCTGCCCTCACAGAACCAGTTCTGGCACTGAGCTGCGGCTGTTTTACGGGGAGATGCCCGGCGGCGCCAGGCAGGCTCTGAGGAGTCCGTGCCTGCAGCCCTGTGCGAGGCTGCGGTACCGCTGGGCGGAGCCCTGCCATAAGCAGGAGGGCTCTTTCCCTCGTTATGTGCCACCAGACTGAATAACGGGGTGCTTTAACGACACCGCCAACGCTCCGTATACATCCTTACATATAACGTATGTATTTTATATACACAGAAAACACTGTAAATGCGCCCTTCCCCTCAGGGAAAGCGGCGAGGCGGCGGGCGGTCGCGCCCAGCCCGCGCAGCCGTTGCTCAGCAACGCGGAGGGGGCCTCGCTGAGGCGGGAAGGGAGAGCAGCTCCGCTTCCGACCCCGCAGCTGCCCGCTGCGCGCCTGCGGGAGCGCCGCCCCTCGGTGTCGGCACGGCCGGCCGCTGCGTCACTGGCGCGCGCCGCCGGGCGGGAAAGGACCGGCGGGAGGGGCCGGGGCGGGGGCAGCGGGGAAACGAAACCGGCGGGGGCGGCGCCGATAAGGGCGCTGCGGAGCCGCGGAGCCGCGGCCGGGCCTCTGGGGTGCGTGCGGGCAGAGGGGCGCGGAGCGGCGAGGTCGGGCGGAGGGAGGCGTCGGGGGGAAGCGGTGGTGCGGGAAGAGCCAGGAGGGGAGGGAGAGGAAAGCCTCTGGATTCTGCCGTAGTGCAGCGGGTGCTGTTGGTGGGGGTGAGGAAAGGGACGGGTTCTGGGCTGCTGTGTGCGCCTGTGGAAATAAGCCTGATAGGGGGCGGTTAGAAGCAGCGCCATGGGGCATCTGTGCTGCTCTGGCGTTCCTCTGTAGGGTAGTATTTGCTCGTTTCTCGTGTGTTTGGATTAAACGGTAGTATTGCTAATTGTCGTCTATTTAATTTATTTACATGCTGGCATCTGGGTTGTTCTCATTGACTAGCGTTTAAGCAGCTCGTAGAAAGGATGCCAAGCTGTAGTTTCTGGATAGATTTTGTTCGTTTACTTAAACTAGCTGTTAGGTAGGTTCACAAAACCTGGTGTTTTACCTGAAGACAGCTCAGGTTGTGAAGTGGGTGTCCAGACTGGTAGATGAGGGAAGAGCTGTTGATATAGTCTGCCTAGACTTCAGCAAAGCCTTTGACATGGTCTCTCATAGGCTGCTCCTGTGGAAACTGGCTGCCCGTGGCCTGGACAAGTACACACTTCTTTGGGTAAGAAACTGGCTAGAGGGCCGTGCCCAACAGGTAGTGGTTAATGGAGTTAAGTCCAGCTGGCAACCTGTTTCAAGTGGTGTCCTCCAGGGGTCGGTACTGGGGCCCATCTTGTTGAATATCTTTATTGATGACCTTGATGAGGGGATTGAGTGTACCCTCAGTAAGTTTGGAGATGAACCAAGCTGGGAGGTGGTGTGGATCTGCCTGAGGGTAGGGAGGCCCTTCAGAGGGATCTAGATAAGCTGGATCGCTGGGCTGAGGTGAATGGGATGAAGTTCAGCAAGGCCAAGTACCAGGTCCTGCACTTTGGCCACAACAACCCCATGCAGCGTTACAGGCTTAGGGACAAGTGGCTGGATGACTGTGAAGAGGAAAGGGATCTGGGCGTGTTGGCTGATGCTCGGCTGAACGTGAGCCGATAGTGTGCCCAGGTGGCCAAGAGTGCCAATGGCATCCTGGCCTGCATTAGAAATAGTGTGGCCAGCAGGAGCAGGGAGGTGATCATCCCCCTGTACTCAGCACTGATGAGGCCTCACGTCGAGTACTGTGTTCAGTTTTGGGCCCCTCACTACAGGAAAGACATTGAGGCCCTGGAGCGTGTCCAGAGAAGGGCAACGAAACTGGTGATGGGGCTGGAGCACAAATCCTATGAGGAGCGGCTGTGGGAGCTGGGATTGTTTAGTCTGGAGAAGAGGAGGCTCAGAGGAGACCTCATTGCACTCTGCAACTTCCTGAAGTGAGGTTGTGGTGAGGAGGGGTTTGGCCTCTTCTCCCAGGCAACAAACAGGACCCGAGGAAATGGCTGCAAGTTGTGCCAGAGGAGGTTTAGGTTAGATGTGAGGAAGAACTTTTTCTCTCAGAGTGGTCAGGCACTGGAATGGCTGCCCAGGGAGGTGGTGGAGTCGCCATCCCTGGCAGTGTTCAAGAGGTGTTTGGATGAGGAGCTGCAAGATATGGTTTAGTGCTTGTGGTAGCAGTGGTAATGAGAAGACGGTTTGACTAGATAATTTTACAGGTCATTTCCAACCTTGTGATTCTATTATTCTATGACAGAATAATGCATGAAACGGTCTGTGCTGCCATGCTACCAGTATGAGTTGTGTGCCTTACCCTTCAGCGTGAAGAAGAGTGTTAATTTGTGTGGTGTTTACTAAGTGTAATCTTCTTCTTTCAGAAAAAATGAAGAGAAGAACTGAGCCTGAATTTAGTAGTCCCCAAAAGAAGCAGAAGAAGGTGGAAGACTTGGGTTTAACTCTCAGTTCTACTTCAGATGATGAAGCTCAGCTTAGTAACCATACTACTCAAGGTACAGTTGGAGGTTTTAAGTGTTGCTGTGAGGAACTAACAAGTAGGAATTGCAGGGCCATGAGGATGATCAGGGGGCTGGAGTACCTCTCCTGTGAAGAAAGGCTGAGGGAGGCGGGCTTGTTTAGCTTAGAGAAAAGAGGGCTCTGGGATGACCTTATTGCAGCTTCCCCTTGCTTATGGGGAGTTTATAAACAGGAGGGAGACATCTTACATGGACTGATAATGATAGGGCAAGAAAGAATGGTTTTAAACTAAAAAAAAAGATTTTGGATATTTTTTACTCAGAGGATGGTGAGGCACTGGCACAGGCTGCCCAGAGAAGCTTCGGATGCCCTACCTCTGCAGGCATTCAAGGCCTCAGAGCATC